TGTCTTCATTTAGTATCAGTAAAGAGGGTGATGTGCAGAAGAGTATGGTGGCCTCCCGTCACACTGCTGCGTAAGTCACTCAAATGCAAAAGCGCTGTCAGTTACCAAAGGGAAAGACGGCAGGTGCACACGGCGCGGGGACTCCTGTGACCACGGCGGGGCGCCTGCGGCAGGATGAGTGTGAGAGGGGAGGTGTGGGGCCATCTACCTGCTCACTTACGCTGGGCGCCGAGTCCCTGCCGTAGAGGGAACAGCTTGCTGCTCTGAAGATGCTTCCTGTTGCTAAAAAGTAGGTGTTTCCGGTGTAACATGGGCCCTCAGCGTGCCAGGTATAATCCGTGATATCGCATCGGTGGTTCAGCAGAAGAAACAGATCTTAGTTCCTCACGTTCAAAGAAAAAAATGTTCCGCTCACTGAGACATGAGTGGCAGCCTTCAGGAATCTTTCACTTTTATCTAATCCCTGAAGATCCTTACCAGCACCTATGTAAACCCCCCTCTCTATCAGCCAATAACATTATTCCTAAGTGTGCCAGGTTCAGATGTCAGCCAGACGGATGGTCACATAAGCAGCCTCATGTCCTTAGGTGGCCGGGGGCTGGATTGTTGGCTCTTAAACGATATTTATGAGGACAGAACACCAAACTGGCACAACACAGTGAACGGAATATACTTACTGTGTGTGTTTTAATTTCTTGCAGGAGAGAATGTGTTCCCCAGTGCTCAGGAGGCGCCCGCAGAGCCGTCTGGTAAACGTTCTGCCAGCCCTGGCCGTGTTAAAATCAATGAAAGGACTGTGAAAACTCCAGGGAGTGTCTGTCAAGCGCCGGGTGCTAAGAGAGAAACTCCAGGGTCTGAGGCAGCGCCTCCAAAGGCAGCACCGAGTGCAAACAGGTGTAGAAGGTGTGCGGAGCCCAGAGCCAGGCAGAGGCCGGGCTCAGAGAGTGCGAGCGAAGACGCGGAACTGGACGCTGTGGAGGACATCTTGGGAAGACGTCTGAGAAACGCACCACTACCAGGGCAGAAGCCAGAGGGAAAGGGGAAGGAAAGTGAAAGATTTTTTGAATCATGTAAGAAAAATATTGAGTCCAAAGAAGATTCTGGAAAGATGATGGCTGTGAGGAGATCCAGAAGAGCTTCAGAGCTGAAATGGGAACCAACAGCAGACCTGAGCACCCTCATGAGACTACAAGAGACAGAGTTCAAGGAAGACTCAGTGGACATCCCAAGCGTCCCCCAAGCCCCAGCTCGCGCCAAAGAACCAACAGATGCAGAGAACAGAGCCACAAAGCTGCGCTGGGAATCTCCACAGCCCGACAGGATCAGCTCACCCGCCAGGACAAACACACAGCCCAAGACACCTTCCCGGAAAGGGGATGTGGAAGAGGTCCCAGCACTTGGGAAGCCCACACAGACACCGGGGGGTGCCACACACACGGACGGAGGACCAGGTGATGATGAAAACATCAACCTGTGTAAGGAAACTCCAAAGCAGAAACTGGAGTCAGCAGAAAATGTAGCTGGAAGCAAGAGGCGGCCAAGGACACCCAAGACCAAGGCTCCACCCCTGGAGGACCTGACTGGCTTCAAAGAGCTCTTCCAGACCCCACATCATGTCAAGGAACCGATGACTGATCACAAAACCCCCAAAGTGCTCTGCCAGTCTCCACAACCAGAACCACTTGTCACATCAACTGGTATGACCAGACCGCTCAAGACACCTGCCCGGAATGCGGAGATGCAGGAAGATGTCTCAGCACTCAGGAAGCCCACCCAGACTGCAGGCAGCACGAGGCCGTCACACAGAGGACCAGCAGGTGATGATGAAAGCATCAGATTACTTAAGGAAACTCCAGAGCAGAAACTGGAGTCAGCAGAAAATGTAACTGGAAGTAAGAGGCGGCCCAGGACACCCAAGGAAAAAGTCCCACCCCTGGAGGACCTGATTGGCTTCAAAGAGCTCTTCCAGACCCCACATCACAC